AGGTATGTCCCTATTTTATTATATTATTTAATATTATATTAATTTTATAACATACTATTTGTCAATAAATATTTTTTTTTACTTTTGTTCATTCTCTTATATAGATTTAATTTTTTTTTATTAATTTAAGCGATAGAAAATCCTTTATAGATAGATATTTCTCATATTTCAGTCTTCAAGAATATATGTCAAAATGTTTAATTTATTCAAATCTTCTATAAGGACTACACTCAAATCTTCATAAAAACATATATCATCTTACTTGTTTGGAGATTGTGAAGTTATATAGTGATAAGTTTTACTTTGATTTACTTTATATAATCTTATTTACTAAAAAAATAAAATAATTTATAGTGATAAATTCAATCTGATTTACTTAATATAATCTTAATTGTTCAAAGAATGAAAGATTGTATACTGATAAGTTAAATCATAATTTAACTGACACTATACTACTCAATATAAAATAAATCGAGTGATTATATAATGATAAACTCAGTTCCCACGTGATAATATTTCTTGCTATAAAAACTAACTAAATACACCCAGATGCACATTTATTGAAATATATAAATATTAACAATATTTATCATAATATAATATATAATCAAGACAATTAAAGTAAAATAAATACATTATAATGTGAAACGAATACATAAAACAATTTATAATAAGAGTAAATGAGAACAATTAATAATTAAATTAAAGAACAAATAAAAGTATATGATCTTAATTTAGAAATTATAAAGATACGTTACTACAAAAAGATTGTATCATCCCAACAATAAACTATATAAAGGAGTTATCATATAATAATACAATAGGATAATTACTGGAAATAAAGTGTGTAACCTTACCGTTATCACAAAATAATCATAAAATTTAAAACTTTACAAAGTTCATATACTATTACAAAACTATGTACACAACTGAACGGTGATTACAAAATTAGAGTTGTGACCGAACGGTTCACACAAAACTATAAACAATAGTGTGAACGAACGATCATAAACTAAACAGCAGGGTTCTCGTCATCCAACGCATGCTCCAACGCACACTCTTGTCCCTCTGCTCACACCCAAAAGGTGATCATCACAAAGAAGAATTACCGAACGGACAACATAACAAAAAGAAAACAAAAAGGATAAGCTAGAGTAATTTAATTAATCATTCAATTAAAAGGAGTATAAAATAACATGCAACATACAAGCATATCAACCATACCAAGATAACCATAAAATACATGCTATGACCGACCAAATGACTTGACTATCCGGATTGTATGAATATGTAGCTTGAGGGCGTTCATGCACTCGGGTGGTGTAGTAACTAGAAAACCATCAGCTGCCAATGAAGTTAGTCCGTTATAACTCACCCAAGAACCTATGGGCTAGGACCTCCTGCCATTCTTACACAATGCATTACCCATCTCTACTTGAGAATTGGTAACCATCAGAATTTCAGGATGAACTCCGTGGATTTCGTTGTCCATACTCATATTTACCACCTTGATAACCAACACCGAGACATCCCTCCTTGGAATTCTCTTTCATACCAATAGGAACATCATACCTTATTTGAATATCAATATAATTTCTAATACACAATAGATCAATGCAACTATAACGAGCAATCAGAACCAAACAACGAAATCAACATTTAAAGACTAAATAACCTTTCGTAGAAGAAGACCAAACGACAACAACACAACCCTGAGTACAACCGAACGAAAACTCACTAACTATGACAAACTCGAACACCCTTCACAAGACTGTTGTACCAGTACAAGGCCGAACGCTAGCACTAAACAAGATACTTATACGAGACCGAGCGCTATGACATAAGACGAACATCTACAACTTAGTCCGAACACTTAAGATTGATACTGATTACTATTCATAAAACCTAGCACTACTGAGAGACCGAGAGTTACAACAATATGACGAACTGTATACAAGAATTACTATCCAATCATAATCGAATATTCACGAACATGTAAAGTCCAATGAGAAGCCGAACACCTATAACTTAGACCGAACGCAATTAAGCCGAATACAAGTACAAGGTCGAGCCACTAGTATAGAGAATGAGCGCTAATAAGAGACCAACACAACTAGTGGTCGAGAACGAAACGCTATAGAGAAAACTGTATATTCTAGTACGAAAATGAATGTTAGGCAAGATCGAATACTACTAAAACTGAAAGTTAACACAACACCGAGCACTAATCAGACAGAACACTTAAAGATTGAAGGTGAATACAAGCCTAACACTTACACTGAGTCCTAACCTACTAAACTGAACGTTAATACATAGTACTATTAATAACGAACGCTGAATACCTAGTACGAATGTAAGACAGAATGAAAATCCAAACCGATACTTACTGACCCAAGCCATTCAACAACGATACGGCTAGCTTATTCACTCCGCGTGCACTTTCTGCATCAAACTTCTTACAGAATGACAATACATTACAAACATTTACTACAACTGATATTTTTCTCAACCCACAATTCTACCCAAGACGGTTATAACTCTACACTCGACAATCACACATAATTTTACATGTTCAAAACAACAATGTCGATCACCCAAAACATTCAATTGCACTTCACATGCACAAAAACCAGCAAACAATTACAATTAACTAGCATTCCACTTACCTCCTTAAACCAAAACCGAATCCGATTCTCAGTTTTTTACTCCGTTCCCAAAATTTGATATCACTTCAGAAAATCCGTACGGACACCTATTAACTCATCTGATTTGGGTGAGAGATGCGAGACCCACCCAAGTTACCACAAGGAAGCTGTAGCAGCAGGACAGAGCGACTGATGACCCACATGCAAACAAACAAAGTTTCACTTGCCCACTGTGCAGGAAAATTCCAGAAATTCACCAGCAATTAAGCAGTGATGAACTTACCAGCCCCTACAATTAAGAGTTTGATCGGTCGATCGGTACAATGGAAGCTCTTGACACAGCACCTGATTCCAGCAGGGCACCATGTCTGATGTGTAGAATAATGAAATGAGATAGCAGATCAAGATGAGAATGGGGGAGACAAGAGATAGGAAGATCAAGAAAGCTTAGTACGCTGAGATGATGCATGCCAGCAGAGTGGAACATGAAATTTGAAAATTTCATATATATATCACTGCCAAAACCGATCGGTCCAATCAATTGCATACACTTGTCCTTCTCCACTTTCTTTGAATTTCTTAGTCCTTACAAAGATGATTGACAAGCGTTCAAAAGAAGACAAACACTAATAAAAGTATATGTAACAATTTATGACCTGTTATTAAGGAATATGATATTGGATGATGGTTGTTCATGATGGCATAATATAGTATACTCACAATAAAAATGACAATTTTTATTCTCTTTACACAAATATGCATGCTATAGTTTTTTTATTCGTTAATATAATATTTGAGTTTTGTTAACGAGAGTATCAATTGTATGGAAATAATTAAGGTCAATTAAATGAAGGTTAGATATGTTTAAGTTAGAATCAGATTTAGCGCTTTGAATGTTTAGTTCTTTTAAATAAAAAAAAATTGTAATCTAATTATTATTTATAATTTTAGTTCTTACTTTAAATTAAGTCATAACATATTTCTTACTTTGATCTAAGTTAAAATTCAATTGTAAAAATGACAATTTTGCATATAAATAATTTTAATTAATTAATTGATTAATAATTTTAGAATTTGTTTTAATTGATAAACTGATATTTTTATTGGATAAGAAGGAAATCAGAGGAAGACGTTAAAAGATATAATACTAATAAAATCTAAATTTAATTTTATATAATAATTAATATCACTTTTTATTTAAAATTTTAAACCAATATGTTAATGAGTTTTACTTTTACATACTGTCTCAATTTCTCATTTTTATCAAAGATTCATATTGGATTCACAATTTTTGAAATGGGAATTGTTTTTAACTTAAGAAATGAAGTGATTTAAAATGTTTTATTAGACTATAATGGTTATAGAGAGTTTCCATTAGAATGGAAGGCACGATATAGATGGTAATCCATAGTTTTATGAGATTGGGAGTGGCACTTTAAATCCTGTGGTCTGTTGGTAGTTTATTATTAGTGTGTGGATGGAATTAGGAAATGGCAACAAAAGTTGAAAAATATAATAAGCAAGCACAAAACCCTTATTATTCGTTAATTAATGCTGCTTTCCATAAAGTTCTCCACTAACTATTATTATTATTTTCGGTCCATTGAAAAGAAGTGACTCCACTGTGAACGGTATATAATAATGTGTGTCGACCTACCCAACCAAACTCAACCTTTGTCAGTGTACATCAGTGTTAAGCACGGCTGCTTATAAAGCCATATTTTTCACATAACACTAATCTCCATTTCTAAAATCATTTCCTCATTTACTTAAATTTATGTTAATATACAGACTAATAAGATTACAATTAGAAAAATATACTTTGACACACCTAATTTTTTATATTCGTTTATCAACATTCTTTCTTTTTTTTTAAAAAAAAACTACAAATATTTACTCTTTTAAAATCATTTTATTTTTATTAAGAATGTTAAATGAATGTCAATGTATGTTATGTTATTTTTACTCTTATAATTATACAGTGTAAAATAAAAAAATAATTCTTTAACGTACTTAAATTTTTACATTTATTTAACATTATTTTTATTTAATTTTTACTTTTTTTTAAATATAAAAATTTACTGTTTTATAACTATTTTAAACTTGTATCTTATATTAAATAAATATAAAAGTATCTCGTAGCAGTGTTTATCTAATAAAAAGAGTGACATATTGATTCCGTACTAAACGGAAAATGTACCTCCACCAACTCATATTCTAAAGTCACATCAAACATCTATCTCTAAAAATCATGTCACACCCCACTAACCACTAAGTGCACCCGTTGTCAACGATCCAATGAAACCCTTCGCACTCTCTTTCTCTTTCTTATAAAAAAAACTCATGCTTTCTGTGACTTCATTCATTCATCCATTCAGGTGAAATGACAGCAGAGAAAAAAATGGAGATTGAGGACGCATCAAGTGGAGCATCCATTGCCTTCCCTCTTGGCTTAGCTCTTCTCATTGCCGTATTGTTCTTCTTTTGCACCTTCTTCTGCTGCTGCTTGCATTGGGAAAAGCTCAGACCTTTCTTTCCATTTTCTTCTCGGAATATCACCACTCTCCCTCATCACCCACTCACACCCATAACTCCCCCTCCTCACAAACCAGGCTTTCCCGTCTTGGTAACCATTGCTTTCTAGTTTTAATTCATCATCGTATTGTTTTTCCATAAACAAAACATGATTTTTTTTAGGATATAACTGATGGGATTTGTTTGGTGGTGTTCAGATGATGAAACAGAACAGTGGTGAGAGCTTTCCGGTGCTGATGCCAGGAGATGAGGTTCCAAAGTTCATAGCTTTATCATGCCCGTGTCAGCCTCCGACAAATGAAAGGATCACAATCCATGTGCACAAGGCAGAACCAAATGATTTTTGTTGAGCAAAGTAAAAAACTGTATAGCCTTGCTTAAATACCAAGTTGCAATCGGCAAACTCGTCTCAAGTTCCTGCAAGAAATTTCGGCTCTACAAACTCAAACATCTGTGGATAGCTTTGTGTTGAGTTGAGAGAAATGATTAACAAAAGCTCGCGGAGTTGAAGTGATGATTGGAAAATTAAAGCTGTGCATCATCATCATCTCTAGCTGTTTATAACTTTCCTTTTGGATGGCACAGCATAGAATTTTCTCTTCTGTAGAATTTGTAAGTTGGTAGGAAGATGGTTTAAATTACAGGGTAGAGGTTGGTGACAAGATCTTGAATACGACAGGTCCTTCTGTAAGATTGCAGAGATACGGATTGTTAGCTAAGGAAATTAATTTTTCTGAAACAATTCAAACATTTGCAAGGTACAAATGTTTTGTGTAAATGAATAAATGTTGTGTGTTTGAACATTATAACATTTTTTTTTCTTCTCGAGTTTTGCATTAAATTGTGGAAAATCAGAAACTGGAAAAAGAGAGTAAAATATTAGATTTTTTAATTATGTGAAAAATAATGAAAATGAGATGTTTTTTTAATTTTTACTATTATTATAAAGAAAAATGTAAATATCAATAACATTAATTGTGTCGGATTATGTAATATATTTATGAAATAATCACACGTAAGGCAAATATTAACTTAATGAATTATGCAATTTTGTAGTTAAATTTCTTCACTTTAGAACGAAAATTTTAAGGAGTTTTTTTTCTGCCGATACATAAATTTAATAATTCAAACTTTGCCATTTATTAAGAAAGTTTTTTTTTGTTGCTTATTAATTTAATTTGTGTATTTGTGTGTATTTTAAAATGAGGGAAAAAGAAGAAAAAGCCAGAGATGGTTTATAAGAATGAACAACAATGAGTTGTACGGTGGACATCGACATCAGTTTAATTAAGCGACGGACTTTTGATAGGAACGAGGAAAATTTATCTAACAAGGTAAAGTCGTTGTGACTTCCTTCAAAGTCACGTATGCGCATGCTTTATCGATATGTGTTGTTAAATAAAAAAAAAAAAAATATCTGCATACAGATTTTCTTTTAATTATGAACTCTAGAGAGCGCATATGGTAGAAGTTACTTACTACTTATGGATGGTAATATGTTTTCATTAAAAAACCTCGTTTACTTTACAGTCAATATTAATAACGGGATAAATAGTTATTTCAATATAATTAGAGCTGTCAAAAGGGGTCACTCGGTCTGATCCGGCCCAGTTCACCACAGGTTGATCATTTATTGAGTCAATCCAATCCGGCTCATTTATTAGCGAGTCAGAAAAATTCGAACTCAGTCTGACCTATCACGGGTTGGTAGGTAAACGGATTGACTCATGGACTCATTTATTACAATTTTTTAAAATAATTTTTTTTTTACAAACTTTCTATAATTCAAATCTAAACAAATTTCACTCTCAAATTTAACTCATAATATGGATGTTTAACTAATTTTGAAAATAAGGAACTTAAATAATTTTTTTAAGCAAAAACAAAATAATAAATATTTTTTTATAAAATTAAAATTAAATTTTAAATAAAATAAAATTAGGTAGGTGGGTTGGTGGGCCAACTCGGCTCACTATGGGTTCAACCCGTATGAGCCGGGTTTAAATGAGCCGGGTTGAATCTAACCCCATAAAAAAATACATTTTTTTCAAACCTAACCCGGCTCAAACCCGTGGTGGGTCGGGTTGGCTCGCGGGTTGTGACCCCATTTGACAGCTCTAAATATAATGAGTATTAACTATTACAATAGTAAAAAAATTATAATTTTTAATACACATATTTTTATTTCACTAAATTAAGATACACATATGCGTATTTAATATTTAATAATCATCATGTTTATAATAGAAGAAAAATTAACACTAATATACAATTAATTTTTTAAATTATTGTTTTAAAATTTCATGTTTTAATTTCAATAACTTTTTTATTTCATTTTTATGCATAATGTGACATCCCAATTATATATAGAAAGCATATATAATAAAGACATCATCATTGCATAATATAGGAAAGCAGTCAAGAGTAATTAAGGATTACAGTCATCCGTAGAATAACGTGGAATTGAAATAGAGTATAGAGTTTCTTCTTCTAGTTTTCTCCCTGTAAATTACAGAGAATTTAAAACTTTAAATGCCAAAAGTTTTCTTTCTTCAAGCTAGCAAATCTAAGCTGCAGCACTGCCCGTCTCCAATCAAGAGTTCTTTCCAAAGTAATCCTCCCCCTCCTTCCATCGTGCTCTCCCACCCAAGTGGGGTGATCATCGGCAAAAGAATCATACACCAAAGCACACACAAACAAAAAATGGGTGAGCTAGACAAAAAGCATGTTATTCAACCTCACACGACAGCAAAAATCACTCAACCATGGTAAAATGCATCAACAAGAACTTGGTACTTTATAAATCGACCTCGTCCGACTAAATGATGCCGAGCTATGGCGGGTTATCACTCTGGTGCCTCTACTCTTACTCTAACTGCTTTGCAAAGCCATTGCAATGGTTTCACCCTACCCACACATCTCACGATTTAGTCCTTATCACTCCCTTGGGTCATACTTGAAGCACCCAAGACTAGGACCCTCCTGCTACTTTTGGTCCTCACCAATGAATCAATCTCTCTACTTAGACGATACCATTTGGAGCGTCAGGAAAAAACCCCAACACGAGCTACCATGCGAATCATTCTAGACAAAACCACCATGACACCACCAATGTATCCTCCCTCCTTAGGATCAATGGATTACGTCCATTAACCATACTAA